ATCTACAGGGCACTGTGTTGGGGAAGGCTGATCTACACAGAGAGCAGCAATTTTTCAGGACTAAACCTGGCATTGATTGACCTTCTGCAGTGCAAAGCTTGTGCCCTGCTCTTGAGCAGTCAGTCGTCTTTCCCCTACTGACTTAAACATGATACTTGTGGCCTAGGAAATTGTTCCTTGCAGTGCTGAGCCCCATAGTTGGTTCTGAATTTGTAAAGATCAGTAGGAACTTTGTGGACATGCTGAGTTCAGAGCCGTTGGCTCTATACCTTCTCTTGGAGGACGACATCAGTATTTGTTTGACACCCTCCTGTGCTAGCTGCTTTGCTCTTTTAACCCAGCAGCAATGAATGTGGGGAAAAAATCACTCATATTTGAGTGTGGAAAAGTTGCCTTTTGGACCTCCAAATTCCAGAATTCACCCAGGCAGCAACCCAGGGCCATACTTGCTGTCGAATTTAGGGAGTAGTCCAAAAAGTAACTTTTAGAGTTTGTAAGGTTGCAATATAACTGCCTCACTTTGCTAACTTTGGATCAAATTTCTTAATTTCCTTTTTGTTAATTTTGCTATAAGAAGAGGCTACAGGTTGTGGTGAACCAGGTTGGAAACTAAGGGCATAAGCAGACGGTACAAAGCACCATTTTCGAGGCCAGGAAGGGGAGGGGAAGCCTCACGCTGGGTGCCCCAACCCCTTCCCGAAAACGTCATTGGAGCGGCCAGCATTCCGCACGGCTGGCGCTCCGACGGCGCACTTCCGCTGCAGCGTCCGCACGCGCTGCAGCGGAAGAGGTGCTGAAGGTGCGCCAGAGGCCTTTTGTGGCGCACCTTTGCCGTTTTGCATAAGGAGCGCTATTTTAGCGCTCCTTCCTGGGCCTGGGACGTGGCGCATTGGGGCCGAGGAGTACGGATACCTCGGCCCTGATCCACAGCTTCCCGGGGCGGCCCTGTGCTGCCCGTCTGCTTCCCCCCTCAGTTGCCCAGCATATAACTGGGTGAATTTATTTAGCAATCTTTCCATCAAAAATGATTTCTTTGTCCCTTTTCCACCACAAGAGTGTGCTTTATAAGAACATATGGCCAGGGAAGCCGTGTTCTGGTGACACTGTGTGGAAATGGACCATGGAAACTCTGTGTTGCTGGTTGTCTTGTTTTTCCCTCCTTAAAAAAAAAAATCTGGTCCTTCCTCACTCCCAGGGGTAATTTCAAGTTTTCTTTATCCAACAGATAGGTTTGCCTGTATGTAACTGCCATGATCGTACACAGATGAGCAGTGGTCCAGGTTTGATCCAAGGCTCTAGGTAGTCATGTATTGGCCACCTGAGAACCAGTTTGGGCATTTGTTGTGCCACTAAATGTCTTCACAGTCAGTCATCTTAGCCAGAGCTAAAGAAAGGAGTTTGAATTAAGCCATCTTCCAGTTATGCCTGGCCTGGCCAAAAGTCTCCCACTTGCCTGCCTATCCGAGGATGATGCTTCACTTCTCTATGCCCTTTGTTTGAAGAGTTCTTTGGGACAGAAGAGCATGTAATTCTGGGTTAACTTAAATTGTGAGCCACCTTCAAGCCAAAGTTTTATGACAAGCACTGGAACCCTTGTTGTGTGGGAACTCTTTATTTTCTCTTTTAAACTGTTCCACTAGCAATCTAAAGAGCACTTTTTTCTATTGGTATTTCTACTTTAGGCTTGCAACTAAATTTTTCAGAATATCAGGAATTACTACCCACCATTTTGGATGGCTTCATTCCCCAATGCAGTAGCTGAAAAGCATTGAACAGTGGATATAAAATGCTTTTAGAAATTAACTGTATTAAGGCAATAAAAGGAGGGCTTATCATTCTCAGCTGAGACTGACGGTGTGCAATTTCTGCATAACTTCCCACCTTGTTTTGCCTCTTCTTTCCCTGTGACTTTTGCACACAACATTCAAAAATAAAACGCTGAAATAATCGATGCAACTGTCTTTTTTTTTTTTATGAAGGTGCGTTTATTTAAACTTTTAAAATATAAAAATCAAAACAGGATTTCGTGGCATTGTGGACACTTTTGGAAATCATTTACTGAATGTACTATGTACTGTTCTATAGAACTGAAGAACATTAAATGAATGAGGATTTTTGCTCACTCCATGGTATTTTGCAATTTCATGTCCTTGTTAGAAGTCATCTCTGTGTGTATGTCTTTTTGTGGGGGAGAGGGGTAAATGGATAGACAAAGGGAAACCAAAATCTTATTTTTGTCTTCATTGGGGGAATTGCTGTGTGCTGAGTAATTCTGGTAATAGTCAAATGCAAAATGTATAAATGTGTATGTATATAAAATGAACATTGTCTTAAGGTTGCACCTTGTAAACGATTATGGATAATGTATTGAATGTTTGGCACATAATTTTCTGGATCAAAGTATTTTGCTTTGGAATTGATGATCAGTGATTAAAAGAAATCAAACATTGCTTCCTTTATTTATACATATGAAGAGTAAATGGTTACTTGTGTTTCTGCAGTCTGGTATCCCCACAAAATGTGTTTTATGGTGGCTGCCATACTTTTTAATAAAATCAATAGATAAAATTGATGGATAAAAAAAATCAATGGATAAAAAATGCATATAAACAGAGTATCATAAGTCCATTTCATACCAGAACATAATTTGATTATTCAATATGTGGGAAGTTCACAACATTTGTAGCCTTTTGATTTACTGAGAGACAAATGAAAGGGACCTGATAAGAAGTGCGTAAAAATTATGGTATGAGGAAATGGATATGGTATGAGGAAATGGATGACATGTTTTCTTCCTTCATTATACTAAAAACTATCCTTATACAGTGAAGCAACATGGAGAGGTTCAAAAGAAGTACATGTTAACTTTATTGTTGTGTACCTTCAAGTCATGAGACCCTAAGGCCATGTTTTCTTGGCAATATTTGTTCAGAGGCAGTTTGCCTTTGCCCTACTCTGAGGCTGAGAGTGTGTGACTCCCTGCAGGTTTTTATGGCTGAACGGGAATTTAAACCCTGGCCTCCAGAATCTTAGTCCAACACTTAAACCACTACACCACATTGCCCCCACTCAGTTGTTACAGCAGATAATTAAACTTTGGAATTGGCCAGAGTAAGATTGGAGGAAGCACACCAGAAGGATGTAAATTTTGTCTGTCTGTCAAAACAGCCACTATTTTTCTCTTCCTTTAATAGAGAAGTTGGGTGACAATGACAACTGCACTCCACCTCAATTCTGAGCGCTGAAAGAAGCAGCAGGGAAGATACTCTGAATTACAAAGATGGCCTTCCTGCATCCTAGAATTTCCTCCTCCCTTTCCTTTTTGAAAAGATGGCTTTCTTTCTCCATTCACATTTACTTTACTCTTGGCTGCCTGCAGATCTTCCCCATCTCTTCCTTCCCTCCTATTGCTGAACCCATCAGGTAAAACTACAACTCAATTTGTGTTTCAAAGGATATCCAAAGGATCTTGCATGCATGTGCTCCTCTGTAGCTCCTTTTGCTAATAAGAACTGAACTGTACTGTACTGTTCAGTTTTGTGGGGACAAAACAGTACCAGCAACATACAAGAAGTATAGTAAGTATAGAGGAC